TTCTGATAAGACCAATAGCCTCTTGGACGAGAATCATCTCTCATCTCAGTTGATTCACTCATGAATGCCTTCTTTGGCTTAGGGCATGTGTCTCCTTGTCTTTAAATCATCTTTGATGCTACAGATAAGTCAGAATCTTGTGTATGCCTCCTGATATTGGATTAGAAATTGTGGGTAGACACACAGCATTGTCCCAAGGAGGGTAACCAAGACAATAGGGTTATCTCGGAAAGAAACCCTATGAGGATGAGTTGAGGGACTTGGTACGTTAAGCCTGGAAAAGATTAGGAGATGATACGGCAGGCATCTTCAGATATCCAAATGACAGTCCCAGGGAAAATGGAACGAGCTTGTTTTCCTGAAACAGCAGGGATAGGCCCTAAACCACTGGAATTCAAGTTAGGAGATGTCAACGGTGGATCAGAGCATCTTTACATCAAGAACTACTTGGGGTAGTGTCGCAAAATCATCGGCCTCCCCACCCCATGGAAAGAAACATGCGTCTAAACGCAGAGTCTGAGCTGTGTTTGTGTTCCTGGAACAGGAGGCATGTCAAGCCACACACACCGTTACTGAAATGAAGGTGATTTTCCTTGACAGTTCATCTCCGCTTTTCCCCTTCGTTCAAATCGACCCGAGCAAGCAAACCAAGGAAGAGATGACACCGGAAGTCCGGGTTCTGATACCAGTGACCTTTAATGACTAAGAACCCACAGTGACGAAAGGAAAATAATAAAATAAAACCAAACCCCAGGAATAATCCTTAACATCTCACTGGAATTGGTGGCTTTTATTTTCAAGGAACACACTGTTTTCTTCACCCCCCTCCCTGTCTTGTTCTCATCTTTAATGCAAATGTTTAATAGATATCATAACTTAAAACTGTGTTTGGCAGCCTGGTCTGTGCCCATGAAACCTTAAACAAGTATATAAAAATATGCCATTAAATTCATATCGACAATCGAAAGACTCAGGGACGTTATGTACAGAGGAGGCGATATATATCAGTATTTACAGTAAGACTTCGGCAGCTGAGAAGTCAGTAAAGCTCACAGGAAAGAGGCAAGGGTCAAGTTTTAGAGTGGGGGGGGGGAAGCACAAGAGAAATTGGCTAGCCTTGATACTGAGGCTGCCCGCACCCGTGCCAGAACAACAAGGGTACGTGGGAGAAAACAGTCATGGGGAACTCTTAGGATCGCTTCCATCATGGCATCAACGGCTGCCTATGCTGATGACATTACAATCACATCCCGCATCTTGGAATTTCATTATTTTGGCACACATCGGGGCTTCATTTCAGCTAGGGAATCTTTACAGCATCACAGCTAAAGACACGAATCACCAAACCACCTCTGAACATGCACAAAGAGCTTTCTCTACTCCACTGAGCAAGCACTGTATTGTGTGAACCACAGAGAAGGTGAAGCAGTAGCAATGCCTTGTTGTAGCAGAGGGCGACTTACTAAGGAAAGACCGAAGCCCCATCTGTGGTATGCAATCCTCCTCCTTTTATTATTATTATTATTAATGTGGGAAAGGCTGTGAGCCCTGAAAATAGCAAACCTGGCATCCATAAAACTGAGAACTGGTACGGCTTCCTGGGAGCTCACCCGTTCACAAACATTCCTGTGATCTCTCATACAAATTAGAAAAGTTTCCCTGCATCACGTCCCTCTTTACCTACTTTCTTACGCACGTAAAAGAAAAAAAAGGTGTGTGTGCAATCAGAGAGATGGACTGCTTCTGGAATGAGCCTCCATGCTACTTTTGTCTCTGGTTAAAGAGGTGCGGCAGGTTTTCTATCCAGTCTTTCCAAACCTGCTGATCTATTTGATCAGAGGTGAGAACGGCCTTTTGTATGTATCCCTGTAAATGAAGTTTTTCTCTTTTTTGGGTGATCACCATTTTGTGGCGCAATGATGGAGAGACCGTTCTCCCGAATTTGTGGTGAGATGCTCCCCCCGCTACTAGGGTCCATCTCCAACCTTAAAGAGCACATGTTCTTCGCCCCCACTTGTGTAAGGCTGAAGCAGGTCACTTCCAGTCTGGTTTGCTGAGAGGTGAGCGCAAGACAACGGGCAAGTCTACGCTTGAATGTTGAAGGACCGGTTGTCCTGGTTAGGTGGATGTTCAGAGGAGGGGAAACAAGGGGGCCGGATAGCTGGACAGCTCACAATAGCAGCGACACAAATCTCTCAGTGACCTGTGAGTGGAACAGCTGAAAGCCCCTGAACCCTGCTGGCATCAAGCGGACATGTCCCTTTTCCAGAACATGTGCAACCTATTTCTTTCCAAGCCACAGAGCTGTTAATAAGCCAATTCCTACCTGTTCCAGTGCTTGGCTCTCAAAATAGACCCACAAATGATGTAAGGATTTTGGTGAGGCTCGTTAAGTTGAGGAAGTCGCTTTTATGGGTTGCCTTGAGGCCAGGGGAGGAACGTGAGGTTTGTGCATGTGTTCCACCTGTTTCTTCTGTAGATGGAACGGCGTCACCCTAACTCTGGGTCTGCTCAGGGTCAAGGTGTAAAGGACAATCGGTTGGTTTAGGGTCCGCCAGTGGGCATGATTTTCTAAATCAATAGAGGGATTTTTTTCTTGAGTTAAAAACAAAAAACCATGCAGAGGATCAAATATTTGCTAGACTCCATCATGTCGTCCTTCAAGCATCACCCCCTCGGACAAGGGCTTTGTAAAGCAGGGCGGGCGATGCATGACTCATCAGGTGTGGCTGAAGGACCCCTTCCACGACCGTCCACTACTGACTAGACCAGTGGTTCTTAAACTGGGGTCCCCAGGAGTTCCTGGACTGCAATTCCCAGAAGCCTTCGCCGCTTGCTGTGCTGGCCAAGATTTCTGGAAGTTGCAGCCCTAGAACATCTGGGGACCCCAGTTTTGAGAACCACTGGGTTAGGCGGTCTAGAAGTGATGAGCGTAGCAGCTCTAACCATGAACGGTCCTCAGATCCGATGTTCTTAATTTGAGTCAGTTTTGTAGGTGTGGGAATTGGGTGCTGAGAGAGAGATGGATTGGCCTGCTGGCAACTTAGCAAACCCAAAAAGTTAAGTAGGCATTTGCTTGTTTGTTTCCAGTGCACATCTGTGATCTTAACACTCTTCCGAACACCTGGGGAATGGCCATAACCTGCTGCTCAGGGATCCGAAGAAGTCCACCTCAGTCTGATTTATAAAGACAGATTCAAGACAATTGGGAGACTCCTTAAGAAGCAGAGCTTGGAAAAGCTACTATTTATGGACCGCTCCCAGAATCCACCGGCCAGCATGGCTTAAGGGCCACGCAGACAGCAGGATTTCTGTGCATTGCAACCCCTTAAGCAGCTTTTCTAAGCGCCGTCTCAAGCTTCTACTTACGCATCTCTTTGAATGAATGTGTGTTGAACGTGTGAATGTGCAAAAACGTTGTGGCTCATGAGAAAATGTGCCCCTTTGTGTGCGCCTAAGACTGACTGCTGTTGCGAGGTCTCAAATACGACACGGATAATTAGTGGTGGACGTTGGGGACGTAAAATCAAGAGATGAAATCGGAGCATCATAAGGTGTTTCAGACATTTCTTGTACAACCTGCACAATTTTCCAAACAGAAAATTCTTGACAACTCACACCTTCTGACTGACCCTGCGCAAAATCTCCCTTCCCGGCGCATCTGCAACAATGTGCTCCCCATAGAACTATGGAGCCTAGTCATGTGATGAGTCTGTCGTACTCATTAACGACAACCCAGTAGGGGCAGGTCTCTCTTATTAATTAGCAGAGACACAGCAAACAAAGGCCCTGCAGGTGGCGAGTTCAAACCAAGGACTTCCTCCTTGGTTCACAAGGATACACACACAATGAGCCACAGCATTCTTACAGAAGGAAGCCGAAGCAGCGTAGGCGGCATTTCTCAGATGGTGAAGGTACTACGAAACACATCTTAACCATGACACTCCCAGACTGCCAACTTTAATTTTCAGGATCTAAACATTGGCTCATGTCTCCTTCAGCTTTGGCAAGTTCTTGCCTCGATCTTTAAGCAGCTAGTAGCTTCCGAGTCCCGTTCAGAAAGAAACGAAGCTTTTACTCCGGGAGCACATCGACGGAGTCTCTCTTGAAATGGAGGGCCTTATTTTGTACCTTAAGTCACCCTGAATAGGCGCCCTCCCCGAAGGGGACCATCAGTGCCATCCGATCCACACTAATCTGGGAGGAAGCAAAACTGAATTTCGTGGACTTACTTCTGAATAAACATGCACAAGAAGCTCCTTCCTGGAGGAGGCCAGGATCCCTCCTTACACAGCAAAATTTGCAAAAGTGCAAAGCCAGAGGCAGGCAACTTGTAGCCCTCCAGATGTTGCTCGACTACAACCCCCATCAGACCTGGCCCACACAATCGGAGGTGAGGCATGCACACAGTTGTGGCATAGCAACATTTGGAGGTGCACCAGCTTCTCACCCCACGCTAAATGGCCCCAGCAATAGCATCCCATGGTCCCCTCCATGAAGGGCACCCAACCTCAACCCCATGTATCCCATGTGGGTGACCCCTTACTCTACAATAACCACAGCCAGAAGCCAACTAGGCTGGTACTAATGCATCCATTCGAGGCTAGAAGGAGGTTTTCTCTGCGGCCCTGCTGACCCTCTGCTAACAAATTTGTCTCTGTTATATGCAAAAATTAAAAGCCCAATTGGCTTTTCTTTTTTTTTCTGGCCACCCCCACTTGGAATTTAAAAAGGAAGGAAGGAGCTCATGGTGGAAGAAAGGAAGAAGGAAGGAACAGATGATTGAAAGAAGGAAGGAGCTGATGGTGGAAGGAAGGAAGGAAGGAAGGAAGGAAGGAAGGAAGGAAGGAAGGAAGGAAGGAAGGAAGGAAGGAAAGAGCTAGCTGATGATGGATGGAAAGAAGGAAGGAGCTGATGATTGAAGGAAGGAGCTGATGAAGGAAGGAAGGAAGGAAGGAGCTGATGGTGGAAAGAAGGAAGGAAAGAAGGAAGGGAGGGAGGGAAAACATAAATGCTAGAAGTGTGCAGATTTGTCAGGTTTTTTGGACTACAGCTCCCAAAATTCCCCGGGCAACTAGGAGTTGCAATTAAGAAACAAAACAAAACTCCCAAACCTGCACACCTCTAATAAATACTGTACAAAGAAGGGTGATCTAAACGGCGGTCTACCCTGCTCTCTCCATCCCATGACAACATGGGGCACAGTTGCCCTGGTAACCCTGGAGGCCTTCCTGTGAGGCCTGGGCCTCCAGGCCTTGGCGACCCAGCCTCTGAGCATGCACAGAATTTCTGGGAAATTCTGCCCAATATTGCACAAGCCTCCTGCCTAGATCCTTATGTTTTTGGTCTGGCCACCCTCACAGAACCCAAGAAGAATCAACGTTTTCCCACCTTCGACTTCTTTTACACCCACAAACACACACACACACACAAAACTGAAGCCACCTTGGTTAGTGATGGTCCTCAGAACTGCAATATGTTACAACCGACATACTGAGCTTCTTCTAATGCCAATGTGTGATTAACAACCCTGTACGTACTTGCGGTGATACAGCCTATGGGCAAATCATGGAGGACTCTAACTGAACTCCAAAACCCATCACCCCAGCTCCTTGTCGCCTGCTCAGGAACGATGGGACCTCATCTCCCCAGTCCTCTCCTTCCAGAACACCTCCTCAGAACAATCCCCAATAAATAACGGTTATTTATACACATATTTTTAAAAAGACACACACAGACACATCGCCCACCCCTTCGGGTGATGTGTAAGCTGGCAACGGGGGGGGAGTGGGTCCCCCCAGTGTTCTGGGGGCAATGGGGTGGAGCAACGGGTCCTCGTGTGAGGATTGCTAAGTAGGTGGCCACGTGCTCACCAACGGGGTGGAAAACAGCGGGAGCGGCTGAGGGACACGTGGAGGGGAACCAAAGGGAGGCGAAAAAGGAGATGGGCGCCAAGGTTTCTCCGAGCATCGTCTACTCTACACAACCCGATGTCCGGCTTCGGAGGTCCTGGGGAGACAAGGAGGTCCAGGATTCCCAGGAGACTTCGGACCAAGCCAGACACAAGAAGGAGACCATTCCCCTTTCGAAGCAGGAGACAGGTCCTCTCGCTTCCTTCCTCTGTGGGAACGTTCTCCAGAAGGTCTCTCGGACATCCACCGGGAGCCACCTACGCTCTCCTCCGATCTTTCGCCCACCGGCCCGCACCTCGACATTCAAACACAGCAGCAGGCACACGTCGTGCAGCGGAGAGAGGGCGGCGTCTGTTGGCGCTGGGCGAGGGTTCTTTCTACACAATCCCTCTCAATCGCTCTGCCGTGGGATCCGGAAGGCCGTCGGAGGCACACGTACGAGACACTCAAGATGGAGGACGAGACGAACGCGTTCGGCGGCAAGGACGGAATTGGAGCGGTGTCTGTCTGTCTGTCTCTCGCAAAAAAAACACTACACCCCTCTCTCTGTCTGTCTAAGGGGCTCCCCTCTCTCCCCCAAACGGATCAGACCCTCCAGAGAAGCAGGTGGTTTGTGCTGTCGTCCCGTCCCACCGTCTCGCTGCTGTTGGTGAGCCGGAAGTCCTCGTAGCCGTCCCCGCCACTGATCACCAGCATTTTGGACTTGGACGCTCGGTGCCGCACAGAATCTCTTTTCTCCAAGTCGTTGGACTTTTCCGTACCTGGGGGGTGTGTGAAACAAGGGCTCTTTATTTTGTGGCCCAAAGCAAACCGTGATTCTACGATGGGGAGGTCATAGGCAGACCATGGATATTTATTTGCACCTTAAGGATGCCACAGAGTAACCAGGTGAAGTTGTGACAGGCGCACCAGGGAAGATTCCCAGTAGTTGTGTGTGTGGGGGGGGGAACTTGTTGTTTCTTTCATTTTTAATCAGGGAGAGAGGGAGGTTAACATCGTTAAGTTCCTCCCTTCCCTGGCCTAAAGCAATCCCACAGCAACCCTGGGCGGTTAGGAGACTTTGGGCTTAAAAAAATAAATCAGCTCAAATTCACACAGCCCCACCAAAGAAACATTCAAACTAGTCTTGAATGCGCCCAAATGATAACACTGTGCAACCTGGATCAAGTGGAGAGAGGGAAGCTCTTTTCCCTTTCATGCAATCGCAGAACCAGGGGACATCCACTCCAATGGAGGGTTGGGAGAGCGAGAACAGACCAAAGAAAAGATTTCTTGACCCAGCGTGTGGTTAGTCTGTGGAACTCCTTGCCACAGGATGTGGGGATGGCAACTGGCCTAGATGCCTTCAAAAGGGGATCGGACAGATTCCTAGAGGAAAAGTCCATCGCAAGTGACAAGCCATGATGAGGATGTATCATCTCCAGGCTTTGAAGGAAGGGACCATCAAAGGCCAGATGCAGGAAAAGAGGGGCATCAGGAGACAGGTATATCTAGTGGTCTCGTGGGCTCCCAAAGACATCTGTTGGGGGCCACTGGAAGATACAGGGAGCTGGACTAGAGGGGCCCTTGGCCAGATCCAGCAGGGTTCTTCCTATATTCTTATGTAACCTATAAAACCTAGAAAGCCCTAAGTGGCTTAGGTCCAAGCTATGTCAAAGACTGCATCTCCTTCTATGAGCCTCCTCCAGTGTTAAGATCATCAGGAGAGGCCTTTCTCTTGGTTGCACCACCTTCATGGGTACATCTGGGGGAGACACGGGAGAGGGGCCCTCTCTGTTATTGTTTCTGGACACTGGAACTCCCTCCCACTGGAGGCCAGCCTGGCCCCATCTTTGCCAACCTTCTGCATCCCTTCAGCCAGGCTTTCCCTGAATGAACGGCCGCCTGAGTGGGATTTTTCAAATAGATTGTTGCTTATGTTTTTTTTGTTTTGTATTCCTCGATCCTTTTAGTCTGGTATACTCATTGTTACTAACTTAAATTTTGCCTTTTGACTGTTATGATCTCCCTTGGGTCCATTTTTTTAAAAGGAGAAAGGTGGCTTAAAAATATCCTGGTAAATTTTAAATCAATAAATAAGACCCATTTAACGCCGGGCCACAGGAGACGTCTGCAGAAGTATTCCCTGGACTCCGAGATCCAAAAATATCTCCCACCGTCTGCTCCCCATACCAGGCCTCCCCTCTGCGGGCTGCATGTCAACCTACCTGGGTCTCTGGGCAAAGGGAAGAGAATGTCGAATCCTTCGGGAAGTTCAATGGACGTGAGGAAACGGACGTGGCCCGTGTGTCCCTGGGGAAGACCCACCGGTTGAGGTGGAACCTTCAAGGAAGCGGCGTTAGCTAGGATGGAGAGCGTCAGCACCACCCCAGCGCTGGTGCCGATCCAGAGCAGGTCCTTGCACGCTAAGAGAGCGGTGATGCGCAAGCAGGCGGCCTTATGCTGACGGATGATCGCGTCCGACCCTGTGAGACGCAGGGAAACAAACATAGAATACTCAGGCTTGACACGGATTTAGGAGACGCCGCTCCTTATGGGTCCAGAATGTTTGACGGGGAGATCTACAACACAAGGTTGGAGGGAACCGATCCTTGGTTTCTCAAACTAGGGTGGTTTCCCCCCCACACACACACACACATCGCTCTTCCAAAGTCCAACCCCTTGGTCGTCTTCCGCTGGAGCACCAGTCCTCTGGAGCTGGCACCTGGCTGGTTAAGACAGGATCCAGAAGAGTTCCAAGGCAAAAAATATTTCAGAGAGGCATTGACTGGGATCTCGAGCAAGAAAGAAAGAAGTTCAACGGAGAGATCTCACAAATGGTTGGATGAAACTGATCTCCTTGGTGGTCAGAGCTACCACTTGCTCTCTTGGACCACAAGGCCCATCGGTCTGCGGGATTCTGGAGGTTTGCAGTCCAACACAGGTGCAGCCTCAGAGCAGAGGTTAAACTGCAGCACTGCAACCTAAACTCCGTTCACACAAACCAGGTTCAATCCCCGGTAGCTGGTCCAAGGTTCACTCAGCCTTCGGTCCTTCTGAAGTCAGTAAATTAAGGGCCCAGCTTGCAGGGCGTGGGTGGGTGGATAAGCAATGCATAGCTTGCATCGCTAAATTGAACACCGCCCAGAGAGGGCTTTGAGTGCTATGGGGCAGTGTATAAGCCGCAAACTTTGCTTTACCAGTTTGGGGAAGGCTGATGTGATATAATTCATGCATGTAAAGCATTTCCACATGGGTAGGCTGAGAATTTAGCCTAGGCAACTCATGGCTTAAATCTCAAACCCCCCTGCCCCAAAAAACAAGGTGGCCTAGGAGGAAAAACACCCAAAATGATGCTAAAGAGAGAAGCATTTCTGCTGTATCATGAAGCATGCCTACGCCTTTTGGGTGAGTCATCTTTGTCAGCCGAGATGACAAACCTCTCTTGAGTATATTAAAGACTAAATAACTTTACATAAGCTTTCCCGTTTAGTGCCCTTAATCTAGTCCACACCCCCACCGCTTCTTCACAGATGAGATGGGTGATGTGCTCTAAGGTGGCAGCCAGGCCAGGCTGTAAAATATATACATTTTCTTTTCTTTTTTACTTCTAGCTAGCCCACTTTCCCTCTCTCATTTCACCCCTCCCCGAAAAATGGCCTTTGAAGGTGGTTTTAATGATTGATTTTGCACCCTACCCACCTTAAGAATACATGCAGTACTCTTAAGCTTGATGTTAGAAGTCCAGATGGGCACAAACCTCCGTTCGGAGGTTCACGCTGGTTCGTACGTGTTCCCTTCCCATGCCTCCCTGTCAATGGACCCACTCACTTGTCGGAGCATGCTCCTCTCTTCCTCCTCTTTGACTGTTCAACCAGTCCCCGGTAGGAGCACACGGTCCCGCCTCCTTGTCTGATTGGGCAAGCAGCCCAGGAGGCGGGGCCAGGAAACCCGTGGTCCTGCCAGGGACTGGCTGAACCGCCAAAGAGGAGGAGGAGAGGAGCGCACGCCGGCTGGTGAGTGGGGGATCCAGTCGGGGAGGCGAGAGAAGGGAACACACAGTATCAGTGGTGCCGTGTGTACGAACTTACGAACCAATGAACCAAGGTTCACGCCCATCTCTAGTTAAAAGTGAAGGGAAAACATAACACTGCTGTCTGGAAGCTGAGTCACAGCAAATGGGCTTTGTTCTTATTATACTGAAACGTTTTGCTCCTCATCCAAGCAGCTTCCTCAGTCTAAGGAGAGCTGGTAGGAGACCCTTGATTAGATCAGATCTTCCCCATTGGTTTCTCTCCCCCACCCCCTGGTCTGAACAGGCTTGTAAGAAGGTCAAAGGATTGGGGTTGAGGGGTAATCCCCCTTCTGCAGTCCTTCTCCACCCGTTGTCATGGTTTGTTAATAGTCGGCAGCATGATAAACAGGAGATAGATTGCATCTAAGGCCTCCACCCCCATTGAGCGAAGGATTTTCCACCCTGTTTCACCCAAAATAAGACCTAACCTGAAAATAAGCCCTAGTGTGATTTTTCAGGATGCTCGTCATAGAAGCCCTACTCCAAAAATAAGCCCCAGTGAAGTGACACCCCGTCCTTCACCCTTGTGCAGCAACCAGAAGTAGAGGTCATGACTGTGTTTGAATCAATGTAGATTGTTATAGATGAAAAAAAGATAACATTTCCTGAAAATAAGCCCTAATGCATCTTTCGAGCAAAAATTAATATAAAGACCATGTCTTATTTTCAGGGAAACATGATATATGCACATGTATGACCTCCCTGATCCCTCCCTCAAACAACCTCTCTTCCTAGTCCAAAATGAGTACATCTTGGTCATCGAATGATACAATCTGTCTCCTGTTTATCACGCTGCCCTTTCATCCATCCCCAGAAAGATCAGGACCACACCCACCAGAAAAGCCACTGTTAACAACTGTTAATGACGCATGACAATGGGTGGAGAAGGACTGCAGAGGTGGGATTATCCCTCACCCCTTGTCCTTTGTCCTTCTAAGGAGCCTATTCAGACCAGGGGGAAGTGAGACCAATGGGGGGGATCTATCAGGGATCTCCTACCAACTCTCCTCAGACTGAAGAAGCTCCTTGGAGGAGTAGAGGAACTTTTTAACCTAGTAAGAGAGAAAGTCCAGTTGCCATGACTCAACGTCCAGAAAACCTCACCTGGAGGACTGAGCATCTTCACAGATGCCTGCCTACGTTCTTTCACTCCACCTGACAATGTTTTGGTCAGCCAATCTCTGCTTTGAAGCTAAACCCACTGAGTGAGAGCCACCACCACCGCCAACTTAGAATTGCTCAGCTGGAAGGGACCCTGTGGGATCATCAAGCCCACCCCCTGCCAAGGAGGCCCAAATGGGGAATTGAACTCTCAGTCTTTGGCTTCTGCCCCCAGAGACCTCCACCCCGTGAGCTAAGCAGAGTTTATTCAAAGCTGCGTCTTGGCGCCTAGGAGCGCTCGACCAAAGCCAAGGTCCTCACCTGCCAACATCTTGTGGACTGGAGGGGTGACGTCCACTTCCGCCAACTGGTCATAGCTGGCAGGATGGTAGAGTCTCGCCTGGGCGCTCCCTTGCAGGGTGACCCACACCCCGACGCTGGAGCTGACCATGCAGGTGACGGAGCGGCCACTGTCCTGCCCCACCTGGAATGTGTGCTGCGGAGGAGAAGGGAAAGGCTTCAGTTTAAAACCTTGGGGAGCCAACGACGAAAGCAACAAGAAAGAGAGAAAGAGAGAGAGAAAGATTCGGGATTCATCCCCTATGCATTCTTCCTTATTCTGAGTTGCAAGCCCATCTCTGAACACTCTGCTTTGACAGGAGATGGGAACCGGAGCGGGACCACCAAGCTAAGACTCGGCTGGTCCACCAGCTCGTTTCCTTCCTAGGAAGGAAGGTGTATGTGGACGGAGAATGGCTTGAGTGCTCCCTATAGAAAGCCAACGAAGGAAAGAGGTCTCGAGAAGGAGGGCTTGTAGCTCAGAGGTCCACTGGTCCACCATTTACCAGTGTGGGCCCCTAACATTCAAGGGTGGTTTCTGGCACTGGCATGGTGTAAAGCAGTGGTCCCCAACCTTGGGCCTCCAGATGTTCTTGGACTACAACTCCCAGAAGCCTTCACCATCAACTCTGCTGGCCAGGATTTCTGGGAATGAAGTCCAAGAACATCTGGAGGCCCAAGGTTGGGGACCACTGGTGTAAAGGACCATGGGCTAGCCTTGATGGCCTTCTATAAATATAGCCAAATGGGCGTGATGGAGGGGGCGCTGGTGGAAGGGGGAGATGCCCCCACTTTCTGGTGATCAGAGACAAGTGGCTCTGTGGCGGTTCATCTATTGACTGAAGGAGGTCCTCCTATTTCAATGTCCCCAGCAGGGGTTCTCTTGAATGCCCTCTTGACCTCCCAAGCTTCCCTTGTCGTACTGCTCTAACAGTTAGGAAGTTTTTCCTGATCTTCAGCCAAAATCTGGCTTCCTGTCGCTTGAGCTCATGATGACGTGTCCTGCGCTCTGGGAGGATCGAGAAGAAATCCTGACCCTCCTCTGTGTGACAGCCTTTCAAATATTTGAAAAGTGCTGTCCTATCACTCCTCCGTCTTCTTTTCTCAAGGCTAAACAGGTCCAGTTCTTTCAGTCTTTTCTTATAAGGGGAAACTAAACGGAACAGCTTCACGCTATCAACGGCACAAAGGGAAGCCCCCGCAGCAGAGAAACGCAGGCGTCCAGCTGAGCCCCCTGCTGTCTTGGCTGCCTCTCAACCACGCTGTGGCCCCCAGGCATGGTTAGTTATTGTGGCTAATAGCCACAGACAGTCTTATCCTTCTCTTATCCAGTCTTCCCCTAGTTGCTATGCTCCACACATGCTGGACTACAACTCCGGTGCTACCTGGGCCATTATGGGAGTTGTAGTCAGGCCCAGGCTGAGGAAGGCTGCTCTGAGCCGTTCTAAAAGCAGTTTAACCCACCGCCTCTTCACATACCTGTGGCAACATGAATCATTCACATCCCGTGTTCCCAGGGACGTCGTCATGGACTGTTCTTTATCTGCTTAACAGGGCCCCCCCCAAAAAACATAACTTTCCCAGGCTCTGCTTGTTCTCAAAGGGTTTCATGCCTGGGGAGGCAGGCTAAGGATCCCAGGGCACCTGGCTGGCCTAAGACAGGCCACCCAGAGGGCTATATCAAGGATGACAACAAGCACCAGCCTACGTGGCCCTATTTGAGCAGCCCAAAGCTATGCAATAGGGCCTTGGACTTCTTCAGCCTCGTCCCTTGTCTCCGGAGATGCTTTCGTTCTCTTTTTAAGCATTTTATTAAGTTTCTACTACAAGAGAAAGGGGAAAGGGGGCAGGAGCAAATCAGTTTTATAATTTTTCGCAAACTACAGAAGGACCCTCTTATCCATGGGATCTGTATCCACTAATTCACTCCTCCACAATCTGAAAATATGACAGATATTAACAGAAAAAAAAATCCAGAAAAACATTCACATGTATTACCAGAACTGACTACTAGAGGGAGCCAGAGACTGTGCTATGAAGACTTTTAAGGGAAGAATACAGTACATAGCATGGCCTCTAGTGGCCAGTTCTGATAATGCATATGAAAATATTATTTCTAGCTTTTTCCTTTTACTGTACCATGTTATCTATCTATCTGTCTATCTGTCTATCTGTCTACCTGCCTACCTGCCTACCTGCCTACCTGCCTACCTGCCTACCTACCTACCTACCTACCTACCGTGTTTGCTATTATCCATGCTTTTCAGTATCCGGGGGGGCACTTGGAACCAATCACCAGCAGATACGGGGGTGGGGTGGGTGGATTTGTATTGTATTGATGTTTTGGAACTTCATATCATTGGTTACTCAGTCTAACAGTTACTCCTCTAAAGTGGATAGCCCAAAGTCAATATTCACTATTGACATGAAGTCAGTACATATTTGGGATTTCAGAAGACATCTTAGTAATATATCTTATCCATATCTCTAAAGTTCAAAGCCATAGATCCCCAGTTCATTTTTCTTCCCCTTATGTAACAGACCATTCAATAAGGGCTTCCAAGTTGTTCAGAAGTATGTTAATGGCGTGTCCTTAATTAAGAGCGACAAGTTCACTAACCCAGCTAGTTCCAGCACCTTAAATGCCCATTCTTCCCCTGTCGGTGCTTTGTTCTATTTCCAACATTGCACATAAGAAAGTCTTGCAGCTGTTGTCCCGAATCTGATCATTCCTCCATTCTTTTTTTCAATCTGATGATCCACCAGGATCCAAAGAAAACGTTTCTGGATCCAATCCTAAAATGCTTTCTGACCTAAAATGCTAGGGAGCAGGGGCCTCCGACTACGGCCCCCAGAATCCCCCAGCAAACGAGAGAAGGAAAAGAACAGCACGGCTCTGCCGGGAGTTTGGAGAAAAGTCACAATTCTGGATTGCAGCCCTACCCCTCCAAGCTCTGAGCAGTCAAGGAACTCTTGGGGGGGCAGTGATGGTCCTCCTTCCCCCCCCTTACCTCCTGCTGCAGCGTGGCTGGATTGAGGATGATCACTCTGTTCTGGCATCCACACCAAAGCTTCCCACCCACTGCCACCATCTTGGTCACTGGGCTGCCCGGAGAGCCCAGCGAGACGGACTTGGTGTTCTGACAGTCCCAGAAACGCCCTGCCAGATTCGGAGAGGGAGGAAGAGGTCAAGAGACGCAAAGGGAACAGGAAGCCAGACACGACACCCGACAGCCCATGGCCTGAACCACGCGATTTGCTCTCGAGTGCAATATAAGGGTGGTGGATGTGGTGGTAGGGAGGCTTCTAACTCAGGGCCCTCGGCTCTAGCTACAGTCTGGAT